TGTCCTCATCTTCGTTGCCATATTCACGACGTTTAGACCGTTGTACACTCCGGCCTTCTTCTATATCTGTCAATATTTCTGAGATGAAGTATTGTAATTATTTACACTATTTACATTGTTCGGGCTGTTGTCCTCATCTTCGTTGTCATATTCACGACGTTTAGACCGTTGTACGCTCCAACCTTCTTCTATATCTATCTATATTTCTGAGATGAGGTATTGTAATTATTTACACTATTTACATTGTTCGGACTGATGTCCTCATCTTCGTTGCCATATTCACGACGTTTAGACCGTTGTACACTCCGGCCTTCTTCTATATCTGTCTATATTTCTGAGATGACGTATTGTAATTATTTACACTATTTACATTGTTCGGACTATGTCCTCATCTTCGTTGCCATATTCACGACGTTTAGACCGTTGTACACTCCGGCCTTCTTCTAAATCTGTCTATATTTCTGAGATGAGGTATTGTAATTATTTACACTATTTACATTGTTCGGACTGATGTCCTCATCTTCGTTGCCATATTCACGACGTTTAGACCGTTTTACATTCCGGCCTTCTTCTATATCTGTCTATATTTGTTTGATGAGATTTTGTAATTATTTACCCTATTTATATTATTCGAACTCGTGTCCTCATCTCCGCTGCCAGATTCACGACGTTTCGACCGCTGTAGGTTTAGCATTCATTAGGGGATTGTACCTAGAACAATCTACCCAAGTGAACCAAATAAAGGGTTCGATCCGAAATTTTATTCACTTAAAGAAGCTAGGAACGTAGAACGCCCCAAACGTCGTCTACATGGCATTAAAGTTGAGAACAGGACGAATAATGTATATATTCTAAATACGAAAATCTAATTTAAAAATATTGTCTCCATTTTATGACCTTTATATTGCAGTCAATGTACCATACAAGCACGTCCATCGAAAGTTCATGTACTGCCGCTTTTTCTTGATGCATGTTCTGATCGAGTATTTCAACTGATTTATTTCTACCTTTTCCATATCTGATTTTTAATGCATTATTTCTTTCCATATTCATCTCTCAATTTATATTATTAAAATTTAATTTCCGCTTTTGGGCCTATCCTTATTGGGAAAATTTACCACAATGCAGTAATATAATTACATACGAGAGATTATGCCTTATCCAAACAACATATCAGCGTCATGGGCATGATAATCTAGCTTTGAAATTTCTCTGACAGTGTAATGTCACCGCCTAAGTATCCGATTTTTTCTGTTTTAAAGAGCGAGACCAGAGTAAAAAAGGGGGCATTACTAGACTATCCTCATTTTCAAGCGTCTGTCAAGTTCAAAAGCGGACTTGCGTGTGAATAATTCTTTTCACCACTACAACGACTAAACATTACCAGTCTCCCGGTAATCTATAGCTATTTTTACGGCGTCCGTTCGCACGAGTTGCCTTCCTTGGTTTAGCCAGTCCAGAACCATTCCGTTGGGACCCGCTATGCTACATGCATACAGTCGGATCATTCCAGTCATCTTCCATTTGTAATTAAGAAGTTCCACTCAGACAGCTTGTTTCCCCAGAACTGTTTCATTGTGGAACGGACTCCCAAGAGGATCTTCCCATCTTCACAAAAATATAGGCCTTTACAAATCGAGAGTCTATCCTACATGTTCTATGTCAATCCTATATATATAACCTACATGTCTATCCAACATGTCTATCCTCTATGTCTTACAATATCTATCGTACATGAAGGAATATATCCTACATGTTCTCTAGCTGTCCTGGATTTTGATCCTGCATGTTTATTCTACATGTCCTATAATAACTATTACACATGTAGCAATCTATCCTACAGGTACGGTATCTATGCCACATGACAATCTTTCATTTCTAATCTATATGTCTATAATATAAATTCTACATGTAGGAATATATTCTACATGTCTTACAATATCTATCCTACATGTTAGAATATATTCTACATGTCTTACAATATCCATCCTACATGTGAGAATATAGTCTACATGTCTTACAATATCTATCCTACATGCGAGAATATATTCTACATGTCTTACAATACCTATCCTACATGTGAGAATATATTCTACATGTTCTCTATCTATAGTACATATCTAGCCTACATATTTATCGTATATGCCTATCCCTCAATGACTTTCCTACATGTCCTCCAATATGTATCTTAGATGTAGGAACCTATTCTATATGTTCTTTATCTATACTACATGTCAATACTATATGTATAACAGACATGTCTATGATACATGTTATACAATATATATTCCTCGTCTAACATATATGTATTCAGTCTATCCTACATGTATGTCCTACTTGTTCATATTACATGTACGACAATATCTATATAACATGTAGGAATATATCCTCCATCTTCTTTATCTATCCTACATGTCTATCATAGATGTCAATCCTACATATCTAGCCTACATATCCTACAACATCTATCTTACATGTAGCTATCTAACCTAAATGTTCTTTATCTATCATATCTATGCTACAGTCTCGAGCGTACATGTTCTACAATTCCCTACATGTAGGATTCTATCCAATATTTTCTCATAAAATATACAATATTGGCACTTTTCTTACACGCAGTTTCAACATCTCTATTAATTAATTCTCTATCTTTAGTGGCTCTTGGATCTTTTATTGAGTGGACAACAGTTAATAAAAAATAAATCCTAATCGGCAATCGATTAGGTTTTAGATAAAGCTATTTGCCTGGCAGAAAATTTAACTATTAGCCAACGGATTATCGAGGCATAATTATCACACCGTGTGCAGTAAGTGGAGCTATATTTTTCCTTGTAATGTATAGAAGACTCTCAGCCCTTGGGATTCCAACCCGGCGGCAGTACCTTCCTCACCGCACTAAATAAGTTGCAATACCGGCGGCAGTGTGACAGTGGTCCCGGGAGTCGCCTATTTTTATAGATATGCGTATGGCGCTCCCCAAATCAAAACGACATATGTGTCCCATCCAGTGTTGGTGAGGAGTCTGGATAAATATCTTCTTGTGTTTATCATTGTAACTTTTATGCAGCGACGCGATCGAAAATTGATTTGGTTGGCAAAAAGAAAATGACTGACACGAACACATTTGAAAGAATGAGTCCGGTTGATTCAAGGACTTCGTTCAAGATCGACACGAGACAGATGTTATTTGATTGTGTTAATGTTTCGAGCAGGAGGTGGTGTCAAACTCGGCTCATTTTGGTAGCGATCGTCAGAGTTGTCTGAATCTTAAAAAAAAACAGAGACTATTTTTAATAGTCATTGTTTTTTTTTTTGTTTTTTTTTATAGTGTTAGCTTGATTAGGTCATTCTTCTAAATCCCAGATCACAATCGTCTAAGACGAACGGATTTTCGTCAAAGACTGATCAGACATAAGAATATAGACGAGAATGTCGTTTCAGGTTTTAGATTTGTCATTACTGAGCCGCATTATATATATATATATATATATATATATATATATATATACGATCCCAAAGACGCCTGATGAAGGTGAAAAACTAGATTGGTTGGAATCTTAAGTTCAAGAAACAAAGATTTAAATTTCTGTCTGAATATATATATATATATATATATATATATATATATATATATATATATATATACATATGTGTGTGTGTGTGTGTAAGCAAATATGTGGATATAGATCCGACAGTATGAAGAAAAATATGGAAAAAAAAAAATCCGAATATGCAAGTATGCTCTTTTAATGTTGTTTTAATGTCGACGTCAGACGTTTCGGTCTAGTAGAGCTTCTTCAGGACAATGCGAGACGGAACGCTTATCTTAAAAATTTCAGTTATTTTGTTTTGATTAGTCTTATGTCTATCGTCTTTTAATGTTGACTTGAATATCGTCTAATTTTAATTATGTTTTAATAACTATGTCCTGAAGAAGGTCTACTAGATATATATATATATATATATATATATATATATATGTATGTATGTACGTATATATACAAATGTTTAGAGGTACAAAATTATATACTGTTTTAAAAACTAGGAATTTATTGTTTTTAATTTTATTAGTCTCTAAGGCCGTTTCAACCAACATCTCATCAGGAGTCAATCGTTGGATCATTAATTAACGAAAAGAACAGTAACGAAAATAAAGAGCAAAAAAAAAGGGGGGGGGGAACACGCTAAAATAACAAACAAGTGTATATACTTATAACGAGGGGAGGGGAAATAACGTGTAAATAAATTAGCGTGGGACAGTTAAAATAAAATAGCCCCCAAGAGATTAAGGGACTTTACAAATTCGTTCTGCCGGCAGAGAGAAGCTTTCCTTAATCCTGTACATCATTTGAAGATTTTGGAATCAGTCTGTATAGGATTAAGGATACCTTCTCTCTGCATACAGACAGATATAAATTTTTCGAGGGACAACTTCATGTATATTTAAAAAGAAAATTGGGAAAACATATATTAGCCAATACTCTTCCGATGAATAAATCTAAATAATAGATTTAGCCGGAGCCTACTTTTTTAATATAAATATGATCAATTTTTTGTTTGCTAACTAGTCTTTCAGTGATCTTTGACCAGGGTGTTTGTTTGATCGTTTGTCACACCAACAAAACTGTAATTCTCACACTTACTCACATTTTTCATATTTATTCGAGTATACATCATCACAAATATTTTGTGCAGCGATAGAGACGACATTCTGCTGCAACAGTAACAAGTTGCTGTCTTTATTTCATGTGGTTTACTAGTGGAATTTATACACATAATAAAAACAATACTTCTGCACATATAGACTTATATTCCGCTCATCGTATACTAACGCAATTCATTCAGTTGCACTGTAAAAATGATACACAAAACATTTTTCGCAAAGAATCTTAGAAATTCATTTCTTTCAAATTGAAAGAATAATAATACTCAAAAATTATTGAAACTTGTAGATCCGTGTTTGAAGATTTCTCTTTTTTCATTTATACACACATATTCAGTCACTCACAAACACCCCCACTAGATAGATAGATAGATAGATAGATAGATAGATAGATAAGAATATACAGAGTCAGAGAGACAGACCGACACATAGATATGAACAGACTGAGATAGATAGATAGATAGATAGATAGATAGATAGATAGATAGATAAGAATATACGGAGTCAGAGAGACAGACCGACACATAGATATGAACAGACTGAGATAGATAGATAGATAGATAGATAGATAGATAGATAGATAGATAGATAGATTAACCGATTGGTTGATTGATAAATAGATAAAGAGATAGTTACGAAGCGAGTGAAAGTGATAGATAAGGACAGACTGAGATAGATAGATAGATAGATAGATAGATAGATAGAAAGTAAGCACCTGACATAGATAGATAGATAGATAGATGAAGAGACTGAGATAGATAGATAGATAGATAGATAGATAGATAGATAGATAAAAAACTTAGGTAGATAGATACTTGTTAACAGATTTAGATAGATAAATAGATAGATAGATAGAAACAGAACTTAGATATATAATAGATAGCTCGATAGTTAAACCGTATATATATATATATATATATATATATATATATATATATATATATATAGATAGATAGATAGATAATGAACAGCCTAAGATAGATAGATAGATAATGAACAGCCTAAGATAGATAGATAGATAGATATGAACATATATAGATAGATAATATGAAAACTCTTAGATAGATAGATAGATAGATATGAAAAGACTTAGTTACATAGATATGAACTGAGATAGATAGATAGATAGATAGCCACAGTACCTAGTTAAATGATAAATATATCTATAGATATATAGATGGATAGAAAAAAAATTAGGTAGATAGATATGAAGACTTAGATACATAGATATGAACAGATATAGATAGATAATATGAACACTCTTGAAGGTAGATAGATAATGAACAGACTAAGATATATATATATATATATATATATATATATATATATAGATAGATAGATAGATAGAGATAGATAGATATAGATAGATAGATAGATAGATCGATAGATAGATAGATAGATCATATGAAAAGTCTTAGATAGATAGATAGATAGATAATGAAAAGACTAAGATAGATAGATAGATAGATAATATGAAAAGTCTTAGATAGATAGATAGATATGAACATATATAGATAGATAATATGAAAACTCTTAGATAGATAGATAGATAGATAGATAATATGAACACACTTGTATAGATACATAGATTGTAACAGACGGAAAATAGAGATACTTTGACATATTTGGGAAAAGTATAGCGTATTGAGATTAAATAATAACTAGTTAGCAAAATAGGGAGATGGATTCAAAGAGAAGCATCGACTACACCAGCGCGTGTGTGTTCATGTGTACGTGTATGTATGTATGTGTGCGTGTGTGTTGCTTATGTCTGCATCGGCGCACTGCAGAGAAAAATGGGGGTTAATATAGGTCACCAAGCCAACCAAAACTGAATAAATGCTATTGTATATCTTTTATAAGGAATCACACGTGAGATATAACTGAAGGCAATTCTTTCAGATTTATGTTCCTCTGTCGATGAAGGCAATCGATAAGCCGCATCTTTTCGACTGCCTCTCTGGCGATGAAAGGATAAATGCAGCTTCCATTTGCATCACTGTTTGAATGGATTTTTTTTTTATCCTATATTATTTCTTATTACAATAAAATATACATATATAGTTTGAAGCCACGCCCAGAATTAGCATGTGATGAACTTGACAGAGGAGTTGAAAAAAGAGTTCTTAGAGTCAATGAAATAACAATGTAATCAATTATCAAACTTAAACTTTGAGAAACTTTTGTAACGAATGCCAAAGTTTTGTGCTGCAGTAATCAAGCCTAATGGAGGATATTTTGACGAGAGCAAAAATTAACCATAATTGCATTTTTTTCATTTTTGTCATAATAAAAGTTCTAATAAAAAAAAAATCATGTCTCACTTTTTAAAAGCCATGTATAATTATTTTCTCTTACTTAAAGTACAAAATAACTGTTTTGGGACCATATATAAAAGATTAGTATGTGTTTCCTAAAACCTTTGAAATCTATTATATATATATATATATATATATATATATATATATATATAATTATGTTTTAAAAATATGATTCCGTCGCTACATAAGAGTTTTCATGTTTCAAAGACAGGCGCTAAAATCTTCAATTTAATTATAAAAATTAATCTGAATAAAAGGATCAAGCTCTGTTTTATCTCCAAGCGAGATCTTATAGGCTCTACTTATGTATTGAGCACTGTTTTTTTTCTTTAAATAAAAACAAAAATACTAAAGAACTTCGGATTATTTACCTAACGTGTCCTTTCCTATTTTTCTATATATTTGCACACACACACACACACACACACACACACACATATATATATATATATATATATATATAGAAGTGAACATAGAAGTCAACACTTAGCGGCGACAGTCTGTTTCATGCTAGATGCAATCGTCAGGTGTCATGACAATTGCGTCTAGCATGAAACAGACTGTCGCCTGTAAATGTTGACTTCTATATTTACAGACGCTCTATCTCTGATATTGAGCACTGTATCCCATAAATATAGCACATCTTATGACTATATTTCTTCATATATATATATATATATATATATATATATATATATATATAAGTGCGTAGGTATGCAGAAAATAGAAAAGAACACGTTGGGTGCATAATCCGGGGTTCCTTAGTATTTTCGTTTTTATTTTTAAGAAGACAGTGCTCCATACAGAAGTAGAGCTTATATTATAACAATATTTTTTGTTTAAAAATATGATTCCTTCGCTACATAAGAGTCCTCATGTTTCAAAAACGAGAGCCGAAATCATCCAAATAATTATTAAAATTAAGTTAAATTGAGGTGTTTAGTCCCGTTTCATCTTATTCCTAAAATTTCGCTTGAAGATGAAACAGGACTAAACACCTCAATTCAACTTAATTTTAATAATTATTTGGATGGTTTCGGCTCTCGTTTTTGAAACATGAGAACTCTTATGTAGCGAAAGAAACATATTTTTAAACAATATATATATATATATATATATATATATATATAAAGATGTAAATTGATTATGTTATCTAAATATTCTTATGAGGCGTAATAAAATTTTTAACATCAATATTTGTTATATATTATCTGAAGCCCAAGGCGGCAACTCTCTGGGTGGGTACCCGATAGGTGAAGTCCTGAGGCGGGTTGAGCCATGTTTTAAATGGCTTCTCACATTAAGCCTTGACCTTGTGACACAATTTGTAGCGACCTGTACGAACGGATAAACATCCATAAGAAGGATATTAGCTCTATTAACTATCGTTTCTTCTGCTAAATGTTAAGAAAAGACTAAAAGGCAATGTAGTAAAAGAAATCAAGACTATAGTACTAACTATTCCCTGTACGAAAAGTGACTGTATAGCTGTCAGTAAATGACGTATCGTGTCATTTATGCAATGCGGACACCAAAAGCAATTCATTGCTGAAAACCGTGTCGGTAATGTAGTCACAGACGAACGACATTTGACAAAGGAACCAGATAGTGCAAAGGAATCTCTATAAAAATTCTATAGAGATAAGAAAATATTCTTACGTAATATCCAGTCTTTTACTGCGCGGAAAATTCTTCACACAGGTTAAAATGTGAGCTGAACAAAACCCAAATGTTGTTTGAGGACGAATGCTGAGAAATGAATTAAGTAACGGGAAAAACCAAATAGCAAGTTAAAAAAAATAATTATGCAGGTTATACATACATATACATAGCAACAAAAATCTCTGGGATGCCTAAGAGGACAAGGGTCTTGGCAAATTAAACACTCATAGGACATAATGAGACCAAGAAGTGCCAGGATTGAATCGAGAAATCCATTTGTGTCCATGAATGTATATAAGAACAGGGATAAAGAAGGATATGTATGAGCCAAATTTACTTACGATTAAAAGTTACTTAACATAAAAACGACGGATAACAAAAAATAAGACAAAAAGGGTGAATGACTGGAAGTTGTCGAGAGCTATGTTTCCGCACCTTCTGAAGAGACAAGGTACACAAAATAGGGAGAAGCACATGGGTGTTAGACAAAAGCCAATTATAGATAGTATAATCGAATTTTGCATTAATCAGTAAAATTTAGGATGTCGTGGAGAGCCATGATCACCCATGTTTTGTAATGATATGTATGACGAGAAAGAAAATATGAATAACGTAATGACAAAAACGGATGGAAGAAAGGAAGCTGCGGAGAGCCTTTTACTGTCGGTTCTGACGTGACAAGGCATACAAAATACGGAGAAGCACATGGATGTTAGAACAAGACCAATTATATATAGCAAAATCAAATCATATTAAGGACTTAACAAAATATTCTGGCATCGGTAAACTTGTATTAATATAAGATTCTACTGGGCATAAAGTGGGGGATCGGTTTTCTATTGTTATCAAGTAATAAACTGATCCCCTTAGAATTACTACATATTAATATAATTAGAAAGTATATATTTGAAAAGTCATATATAAAATCCTAATCATATTAAGAACTTTACAAAATATCCTGGCGTAAGTAAACTAGTATTAATAGAAAATTATACTGGGTGTAAAGTGGGGTCCGATTTTCTATTGTTATCAAGTAATAAACCGAACCCCCCCCCCAAGAATTACTACATATTTATATAATTAGAAAGTATATACAGTGTAACCCGGATATAAGAGAGTTGTCGGGATAGAAGAAGTCTCTTATATCCGGGTTTCTCTTATATCCGGGTTTGGTCTATTTTGTTTAGGTAATTATGGGCTCTAATTTGGGACCAAAGAAAATATCTCTTATATCCGGGTTTCTCTTATATCCGGGTCTCTTATATCCGGGTGACACTGTATTTTAAAGCCACATATAAAAATTTTATCATGTTAAAGACTTAAAATATTCTGGCATGGGTAAATTAGTATTAATATATGATTCTGGTGGGCATAAAGTCGGGGAACGGTTTTCTGTTGTTACTGAGTAATAAACTGATCCCCCACTCTAGGATTACTTCATAATGGTATAATTAGAAAGAATATATTTAAAAAGTCATATTTAGAAATCAAATCATATTAAGAATTTAACAAAATATTCTGGCAAGGGTAAATAATAAATAGTATTGATATAAGATTCTACTGGACACTCATCAAAGTTCGACTTTGCTTAATTTTGGCCATTGTAATGGGACTAGAGTCTCAACGTGATGTCGCTATAAGCCGTGTTGTATTCTAGGTTGTAAACTTTCATCAATCAGTTGCGAGTCACATATGAAGAGCTTAAGAATAGGCGATGAAAAGTTTCACTTTCGCCATATTATGCTTTATGAATTTCAGAAAGGGGTTAGCCTGGGAAAAAAAATATTCTATTTTTTTTTCTTCTTTAGATCGTCGCTACAGCTGATCAGATTGGCTTGGCAGATTATGTCAGGGTGACTTTAACCTAAACGATCAACAAGGTTCCGGGCGAACTTCTGGCGTCGATAAAGACGCTCTGCTTGGCATCGTGGAGAATAAACCAAAGATTTAGACGGAAGAGTCTGCAAAGAGTTTGAAAATCAATATCTCAACTGACCCTCGTCATTTGAAGAGACGTGAGTTCAAGATAAACGGCCAATTTGAGCAAATCGAATCATATTTCACCATGACAACCTAAGACTTCATGTTTCAAAACAGACCTTGAAGAAGCTTAAATATTTGAAAATGATACACTTGACTTGAATCCTTCTGCTTTTTCTACTACTGATTTTCATTTGTCCCCGTCTATACATAAATATTTAAATAAGAAAAACTTGTTTCTGTACAGTCAGTCGAAAACTATCATTTTCCCGGTTCACTGGACACATCCACGTGTTGGACGCACCCAGGTTTTGACAGGGGAAGACATCCCCACGTGGAAATCAAAACTAAGTGTAATGGTTAGCAAGCTTGTCTCGCTAGAACAGTTTACGACTGAGTAGTGAGTTCGATTCTCATTGGTTGCATCATGCTTTCGGCCTTCTGCTACATCTAAAGCTTCGCTTAGAAAATCGCCATAACAACCAACAATTTAAGATTATAGCCTTATCATGTGACATCCTCAATAACCAAACACGTCCAGTATTATTTAAATTAAAATACTAGTACTTAAAAAAAAAAAAAAAAAATGGATGTAAGGTTATATTTAATAATCAAGACATTTTTTCGGAAAGAACAATTTTATCACATTCCGTCATGCATATTTTGAAAATTGCCTTACTTGAATTTCAGGAAGCAACATCTGTAGTATACAGTAAATTCATAATAGCTACAAAGAAAGCTATAAGTGAACGCTGGTACATATGATAATAGGAAAAAAAACAGCAATATGTTAATTCTTGGTAAATGAAATCTTATACCATACCCACAGAAAAGCAAATTTCACTGCCTGTATATCAACAAAATATGCACAAACCAAGCAGCAAAATTAAAATTAATAAAAATACTCCCAGCATGTAAAAAAAAAAACTGTCCCTACACAAAATACGGACATCCCGCGTAAAGACGGTAAATTCGACCTCTTCACCATGAACCTTGGTACGGGCAACACGTATCCAACCTCTCTTTGTAATACTACGGAGTAAATTCTCCCTTTTATCACATATATCATAAAACAATTGTAATCTAAAAAAAAATACATACACCATTACGCGCAAAAACATAAATAAATTCTATGACATTAACATACAATTTACCATGCCTTTTCAGTTATTTCTGCACGTTTTATTTCCTGACAAGTATGTTTTTATCCATGAGCGCAAGGCAAATTTCTACTGATATGATGTGAGTGAATCCCTCACCACAATACCATAACGAAAAAGTTTATCAGAACAATTCCCATGAAAATATTTATAGGAAAGGTGCAGATAAGCAATAATACGGCGATAGGAAAGGGGTTGATGCCGGATTACCAGCTCATGACAAATAACATTGCAGATTCTTCTTTGGATTTTATCAATAATTTCTAAATATCCAGTTGAGGTGCCTGAGCAAATAGACAAATCAAGATCGAAGGGTAAGACCTATGAATATGCAAGATAGGTCCCAGCGAGAAAAGAATGTCTAGCATGCCTCAGTGAATCAATAATCCTAGCAGACGTCCTAGAAATGGTTTCAATATAATCTTCATATCAAATGATAGTCAAAGAAGGTACTTGTTGTTTCTTTCTTTTACCTCATGCCTTCAATATCTCATGTGAGTGTCAGATTCTCCAAGTTCCCTTTCCTTCTTATGCGTGCCATAAATTTCAACTGTCTGTGTTTTTAAATACAAGTGCATTTTTTCCTATTTTCATTAAAACTTCCCACCGTGTGATGCGCTCAGACCATAGGATTCTCATCATCCTTCTGTAGAAACAATTTTCGGCTGCCTCAGATCTCTTCTAAAACTCCGAAACAGTGGGTCCAGTTTGGCAAACTTTCAAAATAGAGATATGGTGATGTATAACTTGACCCAATCTGTTTCTCATAAGTGATTAAGGTCTTTTTGGAAGAGTATGGCCAAACTCAGTTCATAAAAGGTGGGATTTCTCAAAAACTGGGGGTTGGGGGTTGGATCTCCATTATTTGGGCATCGCCGTCGCGAGGTACAAAAATTAATCTAATTTCAGTTTGGATAAATATTAGAAGATGGTTGAGAGCTTGTTGGAAGTGTATGCTTAAAGTCAATTTGACGGTATGATAAAAGTTTGAATTGTATAAAAAGTTGAAGATTAGGGCTGTATAGCATCAAAAAAGACAGACATGGGTTCAAACAGACAGACAGGGAGCAGGACAGAGACATGTTAAATAAAATCTAAACTTTCTTCAAAACAAAGATCCAAAAATTGTTATTCAGCAAAACACTTCTAAATTTATTTATAATACGAAGTCCTGAGTTTCAAATTGACAATTTGGTGTACTAATCAAGAAATATGTCTTCAAAAAGGCCGGCATACTACTTCTTCGGCGAAATGAGCAATCGAGAATGTGAGCCTATGGCATGATCAGTGGCATCAACATTCAACTTACGTCTTGTTGTTGCTCTTTGTTTTTGTTTTTTTTTTAGATAAAGTCATACAACTATTTTATTTTAACAACATTTTAAAATAACTTAACAGATTGACATGATAGCAGAATTTAGATTAAATAGTTCAACTTTTTATTCTCTGTTTCTAACGAAAAGTTCCTGTTTCTTAAAACTAGGTTTAACTTTTGTAAGGTAACTTTTGCTATTCCTATGCATCTACGGATTTCAGTGTCAAATTTTCAGAGAGTTAAATGTCTGTACTTACAAAACTGTAGAACAAGAAGAAAACGAAACGAAAAAGCAAATAAAAAAAAAACCCAGAAGAATGGTAGTATTTGGAAGTAACTTCGAGTTAAGACAAAAAAGTTCAAAATTACGAATCCAAATGATGAAACATTCCAGAAGTAAGCACTCCAAGACGAAAACCGAAACGCCAACGGAAAGAAAGATAAAATAAATATAACAAAGTGGTGATAAAGACAATACGTGAATAATCTCCTCTTTATTGTCGAAGATTGTCGTCTGCTTTTTGCAAAATGCGAGGTTTCAATATTAATACGGAAATCTTTTGCGTGTAATTTAATTCTGCGTTTCCCCAAGATCTATATTGTCTCCATTGCGTGTAGCAAATGACGTCGTCAGGATTACCCGATAATTTTTATTCACGCATGTAAAAAAAAAAAAAAAAATTCTTTATCTCCATGAAAAAGAAAAAAACAAAACAAGTGAATGAAGCCATTTCTTTTCATTTACTTGCAATTTCCTTTAAAAATTAACGGAAGAAAAAAAAAACTTGTTTTATTTCCACTGGAAGAACTTGCTTTTCTAAAAAGTTTCGAGCGTAAAGATTTGGGTCGCCTGTTGTAGATTCGTTTTATTCTATACGTAGTGCTTAGTTTGGAACAAGGCCATTGAAGTGGGACCAGTATGCGTGTTGATCTCACTATCAGTTAAATTATAGTTTATCTACGTTTTTTTTTTTTTGCACTCGCTAGAGCATCAAGTACGATCTTCAAAGTTAAGCAACATCGAACCTGTTTAGTACCTAGACGGGCGTCCGATTAAGAATACAAGATGCTGTAAGCTTAGATGCTCGGGTTGTTTAATAGTTAATGGCTCGGAATTTTTAATGGGAGAGCCCAATTTCAATTCCTGTTGAGTTGGTTATATTAACTTACACGTACATACCACTGGGAAAGTTATGAATCCAAATCTGCTATAAGTTGATTAGTACGTCTT